GGGCGCCACCAAATTTTGAGGACACTTTTTTAATTGGCTCAAAGAGAGAAGTGGCCCATCTTGTCTTGTACTATCTTTGTTATAACCTCATGCCTGCTCGGAGGAATAAATCTCCTGAAAGGGAAAGAAACATTTTGCATTTTCTTTCTCGTTCTTTTTTATTTGCTTTTCTTTTTTTTTTTTTCTTTAAACAGAATCTAATATTTCTTTCTGTTTCCAGTTGTTCATTCTTTCTTTTCTATTTTCTCTGTCTGTCTTTATTATTTTTCCTTCTTTTCTCCACAGACTGCTTCCTGCACCCTGCAACACAAAACTGCTCCGACGACACTCTGTGGTATCGATACCAGGCAGGGGAGACAATAACTCTTCAGTGTCCGCTAGCTGCCGGGACAAGTTACGAATACATCCAGTGGACCATGCACCTCACTCAGATCAGTGTCTGCACCCTTGAGGACTCCCCCACTGCCTGGGTCTGTTCTCACAATGAACTGTAAGATTTTTCAAGAGTACCCCTCCTCCCCTTTCTCTTCCTCTTCCTTCTCTTCTTCCTCTTCCTACATCTCCTCCTTCATCTTTCTCCTCGCCTTACTTATTCTCTCCTTCTCCTCCTCCTCCCCCTCCTCCTCCTCCTTCATTTCGTTCTCCTAACCATCTCGTCTTCCTTCTCCGCCCCCTCCTCCGCTTCCTCCCTCTCCTCCTCCTTATCGCAATAGAAAACCTAAATTTAATAGGGTGGTCTTGAATACACATTATTACATGTGCCTCGTTTATAAAATGTCTAACCTCAATTTGTCATGAGATTGCCTTCTTACTGGTTTTTGTCACAAGTCGAAGCCGACTGACACAGGAAAAGACCTGTTTGATCGTGCACTATAGGATCAGGTCGCTAAAATCAGAGCTAAATCAGAAACCGTGCCAAATCAGTCATCAACATTCTGCAGATCAAGTGGAAGTAGACGAGAAACTCCTATTACCTTTTGTTTTTTGAGAGATTTTTACGGCATTTGCGGCGCAATTAGGTCATGTATAAGTGTCGAAGATGAGAGGTGTTGCAAGAGAGTAACAAACACAAAAAGAAGGAGGAGAGATAAGGACGGTAGTGCAAGACACTGGTTTTGATTCCACGGTTCAGACAAGCAGAGCGCCGTCTCCTATGGAAAGTTTCTTTACCTAAACTGCTTTTCATCCACCAGCTGAAAACAGTTGCTCTCTTTTCAGAGCCACAACACTGAAAAACCCTCCCACCCCACCCCGCCATCCGTTCATTTGCCACT